CTCATCCATGTGTGGTATGTGTAAGGCAACACCACTGTTTATCTTCACATTGTTTACGTAAATTAGCCCAAGCTGGTCGATGCATCTATTGCCTGATCGATTTGCTTGTTTGAGTGGTTGAAGAAGTTTTGATCTACTTACAGAAAGCAGGTTTCAAGAAAACTCTGCTGCTTCGGCTGAATATATTATCGTTTGCAAGTGCCACCTACTATGGGAATTTGTATCCAAACACTCAAACTTTTGGGTCAATCGTTGACTGTGATATGAACACCTTGTGGATCCTTGTTGCTATGCTGTAGACTATGTATGGTAGTTAAATTTAGGCATACTGATCTGTGGTGAGCGATTGGTGAAATTCCAACAATCGTATGTTGCTCATCCATGTTTGGTATGCGTAAGGCAACACCCCTGTTTAGGTTCACCTTGCCTACCTAAATTAGTCCGATTTGTGTTGAAAGCTGATCGATGCATTCGTGGTCTCTGTGCGCCTAATCGATTTGCTTGCTTGGGCGCTTGAAGAATTTTGCATTCAGTTGCAGAAACTAGGTTTCTGGAAAACTCTGCTGCTTCGGCTGAATATGTTTATCGTTTGTAATTGCCACCTACTATGAGATTTTGTTTCCAAATATTCAAACTTTTGGATCGATCGTTGACTGTGACATGAGCACTCCTTGCCGATGTTTGTTGCTATGCTGTAGACTTCTTATGCATACCCTGAATATGCATTATCATCTACTTCCTCCGTCCCATAATATAATAGCGTTTTTGACACTAAGGAGGGAGTACGACTCAAGTGTGATGTGGTCCTATGGACTATCATGCCATTCATGTATAGGAAAATGGTCGCAGTATACTTTCTTGCATAGTTATACTCACCTGTCCATTTAGTTCATCTTATCGTTTATATCATTTCATAGAGCTCATCTGTGATGACAGGACTATTACAAAGTTCTGGAGGTCGATTACGATGCATCTGACGACAACATCAAACTGAATTATAGAAGATTAGCGTTGGTAATCTTATGCCCTGCTTCTCTTCTGCGAACTACTACTATGTATTGTCTACCCAAACAAAATTATAGATCAACTCACTGTAAGTGGTGTCTCATCTCCAGAAGTGGCACCCCGACAAGCATAAGGGCGAGGATGATGTCACAGCTAAATTTCAGGAGATCAACGAGGCTTACAAAAGTACTGTTCAAATCTGTTATTTTAGGCACCGATGATACCTTTTGTCCCTCTCTATTTTGTACCGATAAGAATGGTGGCAAGGTCACACTTCACAAACACACAATTCTTAAAACTTCTTTTACCTAATGCACTATATTGTCTTTCCAGTTTTAAGTGATCCAATTACACGGCTTGAGTACGACTTTTCTGGCTGTTACGAGGTCAATCAATATACTGCACGTGTAAGAGCTTTTCTTCACTAGATTTCTGATTCTTATTCTATTTGCTTTCTGTTTAAGTTTGCTATATTTTCCTGTATTTTAGGAGTACCTTTCAAGATTTAAGGGAATGATACTTACCTGCAATGGCCTTGGCATAGAGCATTCTTCAAAATGGTAAATGCAATTCAGCTGAACTCAGATGCCTAATTGTTTGTTTCAATGCATTTCTGGCCTGCTTATATTGGTAGCATGTGCGCCTCGGAGAGTGTTTTTCGTTCCACGCTGTTGACGTTGTGTACTTATGGTTTCCAGGGCGCGACACTTGAGGGAATGGGAGCCCCATTGATCAATAGGTACAGCATGTTTATTCCTGAACTTGTTCAGTAGCGTCTCTGATGGCGATTGGGCATGTATTTTGTTCTTCTGTAACTCCGCAATGGAACCTGTCATGTGCCCTTGCACTTGTGCTAGAAAGAGATACATGTTTGCTATTTCCATCCGTCATCTGGTTATTTACTCTCTGACTTGTCACAAGCATGGTAGTAATAGTTCCTTTTCAGCATAGACCACAGCTAAGAATAAAGAGAAATATGTTTCTTTCAACGAAAGAGAATAACGTATCGTGTACTCAAGTATGTGTACCTGATAGAACAACAGAAAAGGAAGTTTTCGGGTGATTGTGCCGTCAGAAAATCTGTGATAAGCTAAATGCCGATAAATGAGCGTTGATCATCAAGCTATCCACGAAAGTCGCCCACCAGGAAGGCATAGAGACACCTAGATGACACATAAGAATAAGTACAACAGGAATTGGACCTAGGAAGACTGATCATCAGTCCACAGTATGAATGGGGCATACTATGTTTGTGTTACCATTTCAAAATTTCCATTCAAGTTTGTGCACCACATAGTGGAGGTGCAAGTTTTGGTAACAATACATGTATATAATCACCTAATTGCAAATCCAGGTGTGTAAAAGGAAATAAATCTATTTGGTCCATAGTGCAATATACTGAAGAAGGGCAAATTCTGCTGCAATGGCCTGTAGCTATGAGCTGCTTTGAAGTAGGAACCATAAAGAAACACACATTTCGTCTGAAAGGAGAAGCCTCATTTGGCCAACAAGGGGAATGCTCTAGCATGGTAACCAGCCGCAGGACCTTTTTTTTTTTTTACCGAAACACGCAGTAAGTAAATCACCGATCTTTTGAGCCCTTATTCTATTCATGATCATGAACCCCACTGCTTTGACCTGTAAAGTCCCCGCTGAGATAATCGCCCACTGTGGACAGGTGAGCTGCACTTGTACTATTATAACAGAAAAAAAAGGAGGGTGTCACCGTTTTCTAATTATAATCTGGAACATGGACTGCGCTCTAGACCTCTCTACCTGGCCCGCTGTTCGTCGTAGGGCCTCGATATCGAGTGGAAACGGACGGACGATAGAATCGGACAGCGGCGTGGGCTTTTGCCGTACTGCAGCCTTGACGAGCAAGCCAATATCATGTTGGTGTCAGAATGAATTGTCCCTGCCTTTTTCTTTTTCCTCCCTCGGTTGGGTGAGTTGTCTGATAAAATGAAAAATCGATTGCCATGTAGAGTACTCATGGACAAAAGCTGCGTCGGTCCATTTCGCTTTGAGGCAGCGATCCAGGACCAGACAACGGCTGCGGTCAGCCATGGTCGCTCGATGCGTCTGCCGTATACAGTAGGAGCAGTAGACATCTACGCTAGGGCCAACTCAATGGTTTGTACTACTACTACCTGCACGTTTTGTTCACACGACACGATTATGCTTGGAGGGGGCCAGGTTTCCGGCCAGGCCAACAGTGCTTCACGATGGCATTTCCCGCACATTCTAAACAAAATCTATAACCTGAACGTTAGCGCGGGGATCTGATTGATTCTGAACCACAGGACCAGCAGGCGTGTAACGTTGGCCTCACCGGAATGCCCTGCATCAGTGAAACTGTGGATAGTAAAGCAGCCGCGTGACGCGACGCTCTCCAGCTCGGCCGCAGCGGCCAGCGGGTGACACAGCTCGCGAGCAAGAGTCCAACGGGGGCGCACAGGGGGGAAGGCTCGTCGCCATCGACGCGCTTCCATCGGACGTCCACACTCGGGACGACGAGGACGTGGCGCCTACCGGCCGCGTCGAGCCACCAGAGGGTTCGCGTCCCCGGACGCTTGCGACGAATGTGCCACTCTCACTCGCAACCTACTGATTGCTCAACAGTTGTTTTTTTCTTTTTTGCTCGGCAAAAGATTTGTGAGCAGCTCAGATATTGACTCACTTAATCCTACTACATTTTATCTCTACAGCAGTTTCCCTGTATGATGATTTATTCTTGGTCGGTGAACAGCTCAAATACTGGTAGTGGTGACGAAGCGAGACATTTTCGTTTCTGGAAGAAGTGCAATCTTCTCCGAAAGATTCCACGAACAAAGCTTGAGCTGTCGAGCAATGATTACCTCATCGGTGCAAACAGTGAGCTCCAAATGATTTCGACGGGAGTTGAAACACCAGCCCGCGGTGAACCAGCTCACAGCTCAATGCGCTGCGTTTGCCGTCGAGGCAGCGGGTGCAGCCAGCGGCGGGCGACAGGGCCAGTGCACTAGACCAGGTAGTAGAGCGAAGGGTCCTCTCCTTCACCACTTGCAACGTAGGCGAGCGTGTGCTGCCCGGGCCCACATGTCGGCGAGACGAGGACACTGCGCTCGAGCCGCCTATTCCTAGTCCTGAACCTGCTCCACCCAAAGCAGCACGACTAGACCAGTGTGCACGACACACAAGCTGCTATCCCGTCACGTACTACTCACCTAGTACCCCCACTCCATACATAACATCAAAAGCTCTAGATAAATGGAGCAATGAACACCGCCGCACTGGTGCTTTTCACCTTTCCTATACACGCTAATGATAGTGGTGCCGTCGTGCTTAACTGCTGATCGATGTTGTGCTGGTACCATCGTGTTTAACTGTCTCACATGCCTGGGATTTCTAATTTTTATCCTGAATACCAAAAATTCAAGGAAGTAGCGCAGATCAAATGGGAGCTTAAAATGTCCAATTTTGATGGTACTACACGGTGGAGCAGTAAGTGTACAGACACAACACCAAGGGACAACAAAAGCAGGGAGGAAATGACGCCGCCCAAAGGGTAATTGAGCGCATTGCGCCCAAATCACAGGCTTTCTGTTTTAATCTAGCTTAAACATCATAGCACATTAGCACGCGAGCCACAAAAGTGGAAAAGAAGAACCCCCATATAGTTAATTGATTATATTATAACCACCTCCTAAAAGCAACAGACAGATCCCGCCACTGGTGGTGAGGAATCTCACCCCCGCTCCGGCATGCTCGCCGACGACCTCCGGTGCCGGAACGCCTTCATCGGGCTCGGGAAGTGCCACCCCCACCGCGCCTTCGTCGCCGCCGCCTTGGCCGCCACCGCCTTCGCCTCCACGGCCGTCGCGGAGACCGAGCTGGACCTCGCCAGCCCCAGCCTCTCCTCCTCGTCCTCCTCCTCCGCCGCGCCCCCGTCCTTGGCAGAGGACTTCCAGAACGGCGCCCACCCCCAGACCCTCGCCTTTCGCCTCCCGGAGGCCGCGACGGAGGCCATCGTGGCGGAGGAGGACGCGGCGACGGACCGCGAGCGCGCCACCCGGTGCTCCCGCTCGATGAGGCTGTGCACCCGGCCGACGGCGTCGCCGGACGCCGAGGAGGAGGAGGATGGGGAGGCGCACGTGCAGGGGCAGGGCCGCACCCGCGCGCAGTTGGGGCAGAGCCGCAGCAGCCGGTCGCGGAGGCAGTACGGGCACACCCCGCCGCCGGATCTCGCCGCGGGGTGCTTCCGGCACCGCCACTCGTCGCCCCCGACGGCGTCCGCGGCCACCGCTGCCTTCTCCGCCTTCATCCGTGCGGTTGCTCTCGCTCGCCCGCTCTCTCTCTCTCTGCCTCGCGCTTCTTGGCGAGTGGAAGGAGGGGGGCGTTACGAATACGAACTCACAGCGTCGCTGCGGGAAGGGGCGCGCCGGAGTGTGTAATAAAGGAGGCACCGGCGGGGCTTAACGACGTGTGGTTTTTCGGGCACGGAGAGAAGGCACGTAGCTTGCGGTTATTCACGAGGGTGCCATCGGGTACAGCTGGGCAGTGGTTGCCGCGGGATCTTGTGCGGTTGCACCTCAACTGCTGTAGCCTAGAACCACCGTATGAGAATGCATCATTCACGACGTGTAGAGCGCGTACATCTGAGCAAAGAAACAGCTTCCGATTTGTTTTATTTGTAGCGCAAATCTGGCTTGACAGATCTCCAGTCCGACTCTGAGCAACAGCGAGGAGCACCTACTGTGTCATCGGCCGCAGAGGATCCCGAGGGTGCTCGAAAGATAAGGCTGCCCGCGCACGTGCGGGGCGGGAATGAGCCGTGCTTGGGTCGCGGGGCCCGCGTGTCGGTTTATGACGATGCGACCGAGACGGCTGTTCCTTTATTTCTCTCGATTAATTAATTATTTATTAAATGAAACTTTGGTGCCCGTGTGGAGTGCACCTGCAGGCCGGTTGCAGTCTCGCGGATCTGGTTCGCAGCGCGAATCGTAGGTATCGCGTCTATTCTACACGCACGTCGCACAGGGCGCTACTGACTGACTGACTGACCCGGACGCAGCCCAGCGTATCGCCGTCGAGGTGCTGTCCGCTTCTGCACGTGTGGTTGACGAACGGCGTCGCCTGTGTCGGGGCGCAGAGCCGTGTTGTCTCGCCTTCGGGCGCCCGGCAAAGTCAAAACGATTAGGCGACCATTTTGCATTTTTTTTGAGTTCTGTTACCAGCTTCAAGGTGTTAATATTAGTAGTAAATCTTACTACTGTATTCCCTTAAAAAGAGAGATTAGTACGAGGAGTGCACCTCACTTGCATCTCTTGAAGTCGGTCTTGTGCAACCTTTCAGAAAAAAAAAGAAGAAGAAATTTCAAAAAAAGAAGAAGAAGAAGAAATAGACAAGATGCACACTCGTTCGCTCTCAAATCGCGCGCCAACGCCGCTGAAAGAGACCGATGCTAAAAATTCTCCCCCGTCACAGGCAATCTGGATGGCGCCCAAGATTCCGTCTATAGTTAATTGTCAAACGTGTCGGCAGAAGGGAGATCAGAGATTAATCTTTCAAGTGTACGTATGCCTTGAAGGAGTTTGTCCTAAACACTTCGATCGAGCCTGTCATGTCTCTATCGTATCACAGCATCAGTCTTCATGCGATTATTACGTGAATAATATAGCCACTGACGCAGTTTGGTAAGTATTATGTTAAAGAAAAAGTGTTACGGTGACGTGCTGATCGATTCCAATCAT